GACCAAAGAAGAAAATAATTCATTCAAGTGGCTTTAAAACAGTATCTTGACCATGCAGTCCTAATGGACACATTCTAAAGACTAAAATGCTACAAAGAAATCTTAAACTGTTTTCATGTCCTAGCAAGTACTGCAGATTTGCTAAGAGAGTAGATTTTGATGCTGTTATCACACACAGCAAAAGAGTAACTATGAGAGAGTGCGCATATGTTAATTTGCTTGATTATAGTAACTATTTCACTGTGTACAAGTATATCAAACCAACATGTTGTACATCTTGAATATATACAATAAATATAATCTGGTTATTTGCAATATTATATGCTTTTTTGAAATTGCTATAGGTAGATTGTATAATAAAGCAAATTATTAATTATATGAATGCCTTTGGAAAGCAAAATTTGCAGCATAAAAAAAGATACAAGTGTAACATCAAACAAAAAAAAGTATTCTTACACTTAAATCAGAAATATTAGTATAAATGCGTGATTTATTTTTCTGTTTTTAAAAAAATAGATTCTAACCTTTGTTCAATAAAAAACCTAGAAGAAATGACATCCCAGAAATAATGACCCCTCCTAGTTTTTAAACACCCTCATTGAAGCAGTCTTTTTGGAGAAAGGGATGATTCCAAGTATGGGGCATGGCTGACATGATGAGCCTGATACATCTTGATGTGCCAAGGAAATAGGAAGATATCATAGATTATAGGGGTCATGTGAAAAAGATACAGTAACCAACTTGAAGGAGTTACCTCTGGCCTCAGATAAACCAATTGGACCATAAGAAAAAAAACTATTGCACTTGATCAAATCACATCAAGTATGTATAACTTCCTGAGTTCATAATGATTTTAAAAAAGTAAAAACTCATTAGTCTCCATCGGGTGTTGCAAATAAACTCACACATTACTCTTACAAAGGGAAAAAGTCAAATATTTATTCCAACTTTCCTGTATGAAATGTATTGCAAGATAACCAAATAGTTGATGGTAGAAAGTTAGTTTTTATAGGATCCAAGCCAACAAATATAGAAGGAATGATATAAAATTCAGCATTTTACTACCTAGGCCATTGAATCTAGGCGACAATCATCAATGGGGAGCTTTAAAATGGAGGCATCAGGCTGACACTGCTTAAAACCAGTGGTCAACCAGTCATTATACACGTTTTGATGTGATTCAGTAAGAAGTGCACCCACCATCTGTAACCTACTCTTGTCCCCCAAAGTCCCCAAAACTGACTCTAAACCTAACTGTCTCTAAGTCTAAATTAATGATTTATAGCAAATACAGGAGATGGGAGGGAATAAAGAATTGACTAGAATATGCATAAACAGATGAACTTTTCTGTAAGAAACTCTCTTTCATACTGACTTGGAGAGGCACCCAAAACGAAGAGTGAATTACCAGCAATGCTGTTTGTGGAGCACCTGCTTTGTACTGTTTCCTCTGAGGGCCCTACCTATAGCGCTAAATTGAAATTAGATTCTTCAGCAATCCTCAGAAGTAGGTTTTAGCCCCATTTTACAAAGGAGAAAGGGAAGCTCAGAGAAGTCACACATAAGTAACTAGCCAGTGGAGGAGCTGAGATTTAAATCTAGGCCTAACTTCAATGTCATAACCCTAATTAAATGCATCCTGACCTTGACCTGTCTGTGGGAACTGATAGTATTAAAATCAGCTGAGCCCAAGTATCACGGCCCAATAATTCTGTAAATACGAGAGCTCTGCCTGTGCCCCATGAAATAGCCTGTAAGCAAAGCATGCACAGTGGACTGTGAAGTAGCGTATCCAGGAGACACTATTTCTAGAAAACTACTTTGATAGTAGCGGCCAGATCACAAAATGCCAACAGGAGCAGCCAGGGGTTGGGACCCAAACCATGCAGCTGCAATTTTTCCATTAACTCTGGTCACTTTTTGACATGCCTTGCTTTGTTCAACTATGCTTTCTTTGAAAAGCAGACAATTTAGCAGAATTTTGAGGCCTACAGATCTAAGACTCTAGTAATTTTATATGTTGTTCTGTGTTCTTCCTTTAAACCCCAGAAGAGCTCACTTTACTTTTTTTTGACTTTATCAAAGGATTTCTAGAGTCTGCTCAAAGGAAACTGAATATAGGAAGTCCTACTATTTAAGAAAAACAAACACCC